GTCAGCCCCTGTTCTAGAGAGATAGCAAAGCTTATTCAGAGGACTGGTGGAACTCTGCTTGTGTCAAAGCTGGGTGTCACCATACCCTGTCCCCGTGTCTCTGCTTGCAGCATTCTCAGGCTGGGACACTTTAACCCTGGCAGCACGTGGGCACCTCTCCTTCTCCGTGCCCAGGGTGGTGGCTTGCTGTGTGCCATCCCAGATAGGATAGCTTTTGGCTGTGGCCAGAAAAAAAAAACAGCAGTCTGCATGAAGCCTGCATCTGGGGTCTCCTGGGCAGATTTCCTAGCTTAGCAGGAGATGCTTCCTGGTTGCACAGCTCTCCGTGAACAAGGGTGCTGCTCAAGTACTCCCAGCGGGCTCATTAAACCCCAGTGGCTGCTGCACCATTCCCCAGCAGCTCGCCGCCTCTGCAGCCATTTCAGGAAGCTGAGGCCTGGCAATGAGGAAAGAGGGGAGCAAATGCAGAAATGAAAGCAGGGGAGGAGGCTGTGCCTGGGTGGAGAAGGAAGACAGAGGTGGGAGAAAAAAAGCAATCCTTCGAAGCAGCTTCGAGGGAAAGCCTGAGATCTGACTGGTGGGAAGGGGCTCTGGTTGTGCAGTTCCTGCAGCGTGGATATCCAAACATGCTGAGCTGCAAAGCCCCCAGCCCAGGGCGAGGGAAATGCCGGCAGAGGGCTGGGCTTTCCATGTCCCCCTGTGACTGTTACACCTGTCCCCATGCTACGGGGCATTCCAGGGTACCCTCCCCAGTTCACCCTAGCCGGGCACAGCTCTCTCCCCTGGGAGCCAAGTTTGGCTCTGGAAAGTGAAAGCGGCAGAGGTTTAAAGTTCAACCCGAATTGCTTCGGAAAGTCCCCGGGCTGCACGCGCTTATCTGTGCCGTACCTGAGAGCAGCACATCCTGCCATCTCCTCGGCACGTGGGAGCGGGCGTGGAGAGGCAGGGACTGTCCCTGGCAGCAGGCAAAGGCCACCTCAAAGTGCAGCCTCGGCCTGCTGCGAATCTATTGGGGCGTCTCCCTGCCCACTGCCAGGCCTGAGAGCCGTGGGAAGCAGCTGAAGGCAGTGGAGCACATGCTACTGCTATATTTCTGCATCTGGTTCTGCTGTATCCCCTGCCCTGCTCCAGAGCGTCAGCGGTGCGTGGCACCCAGCAGCCTCATGGATGCAAAATGTGGGTGGCTCTGCTTCCAGCGGGGAATTCCCTGCAGCAGCATGACCCAGGGCTTCCCCAAGGACGCAGCTTTTCCACAGGCAGCAGGGCAAAGGGGAACTTGCTTGTTTCACTGTTGAAAATGGGGCTCAGCTGAGGGTGCCTGGGGTGTCGAGTACAGGCTTGATCCACAGAGGAGGCAGCTTTGCTGGGCTGCTCGGGCTGTGCAGCCTTCCTGCAGCCCCTCCTGCCTCCTTCTAGCCTTTGAGGGATGTCCTGCCCCTTTACCCTGTGCCCATGTGGGGTGCAGCAGGTTGGTAGTGCTGGGCTGGAAATTCCCCTCGGGCCCACTGCTGCTGCTCTCACTTCTGTTCTGACTGCTCAGAGACAGCAAGGACCGGTGCAAAACCAGCACAAGCATTGCAGCAGGGGAAGGGTGAGGGATGGGTGGGCTGAGAATGAAATCTACCCTGGGGCTGGGGCAGCATGAGCATTTAGCAGTGGTGAGTACCAGGGTACCCAGCTCTTCAGAGCGCTCTGATATCCCTCTGCATGCCAGTCCTGCCACAGTGGCACCAAAGGGGAAGGATGTGGAAGGGAAAGAGGAAATCAGTGGGGACTGGAGGAGAGGCTGGCACAAGGGCTGTGCCACGCAGGTGATCTTGCACTCGTGCCAGGCTGTTCTGGCTGCCTGCCTTGGCACAGGAGAAAGCAGAACTGTCATCGTGTGGAGCAAGCAGTGGGGAACTGGAATTCCCCTGGCTGTTGCTGGAGTTCAAACCTCCTGCTCAGTGGCCAGACCTGGCCCTTGGGCTCTGCAAAATGCTTCCCAGGCTCTGCCATCCTCCCCAGGATGGAGGCCTGGGTGCAAACCCCCAGTGTGACCCAAGGGAGGAGAGATGGGTCACATCCCCTGTGGTCAGCCCAAGGGTCTGCCTTGGGGACCTTAGGCTGTGCTTCTGTTCCACCCTGCAGCTGAGCTGCCCTGGAGAGAGTGCAGGGTTAGAAGCTGCAAACTGGTGGGAAGACAGGTGGCTGGGGGAGGTAAGGAGATTATTTCAGCTACAGCAGTGGAGGATCTCTGCCCATGAACATATCACTTGGGACTGATTTTTTTCCTTCTTTTCCACCCTTGTTCCCTATGCAGGTTGGTTCACCTGGCAATTATTCACTGTGTCCCAGATGTGGCACTTTGCTGCATTGCTCAGCTTCCCAGAGAGCTCCTGGAGATCCAGAATGACCTTTTCCAGGTATGACACAAGTGAGATGGGCAGAAGGCAGGAGACAGGCAGGTGCCACCCTACTGGGTGCCCGCTCCATCAGCCTTTTCCCTAGGGAAGCCTATCTGCTTGCTGCAGGGCATGATGAGGATGTGTGAGCAGTCCCTTTCCAAAGAGGGGGAAGGCAACGCCTTGGGAGGGAGGAGAGCAGCTCTTGGCACCAGGAGTGGAGGAGTGCCCACCCCATGCCAACAGGCTGCTTGCTGGGGGCTGGCACTGCATGGCACCCCTGCCTCCTAATTTCTGCTTCCCTCCTCCAGACTCCGCTGCACCTGGCTGTCTATCTGGAGCAGCCCAGTGTAGTCCAGGCACTAATCCACAAAGGAGTTAACCCTGGACTGCAGGACCGCAATGGCAACACCCCACTGCACCTGGCCTGTGAGCAGCAGCGCCTGCGCTGTGCCCAGCAGCTGTTGCAAGGCACAGCTGAGCCCCCTGGGCACCTCCAGGACCTGCAGCTCCAAAACTGGCAAGGTGGGACCCAGGGACAAGACCAGAAGTTGTGGTGTAAATCCAGGAGCTTGGTGGGGGACTGGCACTGATGCTGGCTGTCTCTCCTGTCTCTTCTCCCCAGGTCTGGCCTGTCTGCACATCAGCACCTTGAAGGGGAACATCCAGATGATGTCCCTGCTGCTGCAGAGCGGTGCCAACATTGATGTTCAGGTAAGGCTAGAAAGAGCTGCTGCGGGGCTGCACCTCTCCACCCTGCCCATGGAGTGTGGGTGCTGCAGGGGGGACATCATACCCACGTCCTTGTCACCCACAGGAGGGCACGAGCGGGAAGACCCCACTGCACATGGCAGTGGAGTGCCACAACCGGAGTGCTGTCCAGTTCCTGCTGCACAACGGGGCCTACGTGGATGCCCAGATGTACAATGGCTGCACCCCGCTCCACCTGGCCGTGGGTCGCAAGGATGCTGCCATAGCTGCCATCCTCTCGCACTCTGGGGCAGACACCCTACTGAGGAACATGGAAAACGAGACGGCCCAGGACCTGGCTGATGGCAACGATGATGTGAGTGAGGCCAGTGGGGATGCTGAGAGTTCTGTCGGCATGTTGGGGCTGCAGGGTGGTGGCACAGACACAACAGGGATGCTCACAGCCCCGCACTCTTGGCTTTTGCAGCTCCTCGCCTTGCTGCCCTTTGATGACCTGAAGATCTCAGGGAAGCCCGTCGTGTGCTCTGAGTGAGCAGTGGACACGTAGGCCCACAGGCAGCCTCCTCGCCCTGTGCTGTCACCCTGAAGCCTGCAATGGGAGTGGAGCCATGTGTTATCCCTGCCCGGTGAAGAGTTCTGTAAGCCTCAGGCTGCCTTTCTGGACAGAAGGAGTGGCACTATGAGCACTACACAGGGGAGGCTGTATTTTGAGATTTGTGCCCAGTGGGGTCTGGGCTACAGATCAGCAGGACTGAATTCCCCTCCCTGCCAGGGGCCTGAACTGCAGGGGCTGCAGGCTGTTGCTGACTGGGGATGGAGCAGGAGAGGACTCTTCATCACGGTGCACAGGGACAGAGCATCATCTGGCACCTCAGCCAGCATCAGAACAAGTGTGGGTGAGCAGCTATTGCTCACTAATAAACATTTGTTCTGGCTGCAGGTGCTCCAGCTCTCGTGTCACCCAACCTACTCCACTCCCACACGCTGTCCTCTTTTCCAACGAGCATGGGAAGATCCTGACCCAGCTCGTGGCATGGCAGGTTGATTAGAAAACATAGGGTCTTCCCTGGGTTCTACGGGCTGAAGTGATGGCCTGGCTATTTCCACATCCTTTAGTTCCTCACCTCCTGTCCCTGCCTCTCTCCGGTGTGAGCAGCACATGATGCAGTGTGCTGGGGAACCGGCCCACAGAGGTGCTGTGTGAACAGATGCCCGTGGTGGTAACCCCACCCCAGCCAGGGAAATTCCCCACTTGTGCCATGGAGCAGCTGCTGTTGTGTGGGGCAAATCCCGGATGGCGCAATCACCCGAGATGCTGCAGAGCTGCTCGCAGCTTTCTTCCTCCCTTCTTGCAAAGGCAGATGTGAGGGAATGCTGCCAGGAACGCAGCACTTGCTCCTCTGGTCTCCCAGCAGCTCTCGGGCTGCCACTGAGAGTTGTATTCTATGCACTACCTCGGCAGCACTGCCAGGGCCGGGAGCCGTGTGTCTGGGGGGAGCGATGTGTCACAGTGCTGTGGTGGTGCCAGGCCTGAAGGAGCTGGAGCAGGAGGAGAAAGGCAGAAGCAAGTGATCTACATTTTTTTTTTTTTTTTTCCCATAATAAAAGCGTGTTTGTTTGTTTTTAATGAGTGTCGTAAACCGCTGCTGCGTGGCTGCAGCCAGCCCTGCAGGGCTGGGGCAGCGCAGCAAGGCCGTGACTCGGAGCCGCGCTTGCCCCGTCCTTTCCTCCCGCCCTCCGGCACAGCGAGGCCGGGCCCGGTGCGCCGTGAGCGCAGTCGCGGCTTCGCGTGGCTCCGCGCCGCCCCGCACGGCCCCTCCGCTCCGCCAGGGGGCGCTGTGGGGGGGGGCGACGCTGCGGGCCGCCGGGCGGGAGTTCCGCCGCCGCCGCCGGGAGCGGGCTGAGGGGAGCCGGCCGGGAGCGGGCCGGGCCGGAGCCGGGCCGCAGGTGGGTGCAGTTGGAGCGGGCGGGGCGGCGCCTGCGGACGGGGCCGCCGGGCAGGGACCAGCCCCATAGCCCCGGGAGCTTCATTTTCCCTTCTCGCCGTTCCCGGCGGCGGTCCCCGGTCCCGGGCGAAAAGCCGTGCGGTTCGGGGGCGCGAGGCGGCCCTCCGCCCGAGCGCGGAGCTGGGGGCCCGGGGCCGGGCCGCGGGGGAGAAGCCGTGTGAGCGAGTGGCGGGCAGGTGGGTACGGCGGCGGTGGGCCGGCGGTTGGGCTGGGTGATTTGAGAAGGCTCTTCCGACCTTAACGCGGTGGTGTGTGAGACCCCGTGCAGGGAGGTCCTGCTCGGAGCGGGGCCTGGCTCTCAGTGCTCGAGGCTTCCCGTTAAGGCGGAGCGGTGCTGCAGATGCGCCGGGCTGCGGCCGGGCAGCGCTTCAGCCCCAAATCTGAGCCCCGAGGCTGAGTCAGGAGCCCGAGGCGTGGGGCTGGGGCCCGGCCCGGCCCGGCTCTGCGGCGGTGCAGCCGAGGGCAGCCCCCCGTGAGCCGGGGAACTGAGGCCGAGCGCCGGTCCCGCTCTGAGGCGCCTTTCACCGCTCGGCCTGCCGCCCGCACGCCCCCCTCCCACCTGTAACACTGGCGGCCCTGTTCCCTCCGAGTCTCGGCGGGGAGAGCGGAGCCGGCGGCCCTGAGTCTGCGTCTGGGAACTGCCGGTGCGCACATAGAGAGCCATTGTCCCGCTGTATCCTCCTATGGGAGAGTGGGGCTGCTCTTGCTCCCGCAGTAGTGCTGGGGGTGAGGGGGAACAGTCATGAATAGGGGCTGGCTTCTGGTCTCTGTCAAGTTGGTGGGACACGTGGCTATGAATGTAGCAACCGACTTTGCAGTTTGTATCAGACTTAAGGAAAAGCAAAGGGCTTTTCTGTGCCCTCTCCTTGGCAAGAGAGCTGCTGTGATCAGGCAGGATTACCTCATGCAAACCTGGAGCACGTGGGCAGCATCAGCCTCCAGTGTTACTGCTGAGCTCTTTTCCTTACATCCTCCAGCACCCATGCAGCCTGCAGTGCCTCTCTCAGCTGGAGAGAGGGCTGAGGGAAGGGAGGATAGAGGCAGAGGTGTCAGACTTGTTTTTTTTAATGAGGAGAGAGCAGTGGAATAGGAAGCAGGCACAAAAGCCTGCTCCAAGCTGTTTGCACTTCTATCCAGGATTGGAATTTCTGGGTCCTCTGAGGACCCAGGTCCTGTAAGTCACAGGAGGGTGAAGCTCAGCCTTGGCTTATGTCAAGTTGTTGGACTCAGGCCTGTCTGCAGCGACTGAAGATTAGAAAAGCCTCTGAGCCCTTTCCCAGGGCACAGGAGCAGTGGGAAGAGAGAACTTGTTGCTCATGAAATGGCAGGGGACTTTTTTGTTTTTACAACCCTAGCTTTGTCAGTACAAGACTCTAAGATTCATGAATAAGGGCACCACAGCTGTGGTCTCTGACACCAAGGGAAGGTACACAGGGCCTAAATTCCTGTGAATCACTTGTTTTTTGCAGGGGGAGTTAGCATCTTCTCTGGCCCTTTTCATCACAGAAACCCAGAGCTTCATCTGTTGCACGTTTATGTACCCAGCCCTACAGCACCATCACTGGCCCCTATGAGGCTTTTTCTGCAGGGGAGACTGAGGCAAGAGTGGAGCATGGATGAAAGATACCTCCTCCCATGCTGCAGAAAGCTGCTTTGACCTTGGAGCAGACTGCTGCAGGAGAGGAGGATGCCAGTGGCCTTGGGTGCAGAAGTCTGCCTACTTCCTCCTTGTTGTGTATCTGCTGCTCTTGTTCTTGGTGTGGCCCACTAGCTTGAGTCTGTGCAATGAAGGGGACAGTGGGAAGAGCTACAGGTGCATTATAGCTTGTCATAAAGCTGACCAGATCACCCCTCAGGACTAATGCTGAAGAACTTCAGATGCCTTTGCAGATAGCACTGGTAAAAACCTAACCTGATAAGAAGGTTCCTTCCCAACCTTGCTCTCTGGCTGTGCCTTGTCAAGTGGGTGAGCCCTGATAATTTCCTCAGAGCTGCAGGGAATGCCCTGGCACGCTGCTTCGGGGCTATGTGCTGCCCCAGGAGGGAGATGGGCAAGCCTGGCAGCCACATGCCCCCTGGCTCTCCACTGCTCACCTGGTGTAGTTGAAGGGGAAGTGCTTTTTCTGAAAGAAAGGCTGCTCTGGCTGCAGGCTTGTAACATGAGCTGCTAGGTAGGAGACTCTTTCCATTTGATGACCTTTTAATTTTTTTCCACTCAGAAGAAAGAAATCTGCATTTAGCTATGCTAAAGTTTAACTTGAAAAGGTGAGGTACAAGGTGCTCCTTGCATTTGGAACAAAGGCGTTGTCAAAACCAGCCCTTTACAACAGCATTCAAACATCCTCTCCAATCCTGGAAGCCCAAGCTTTTAAGTCCATGTGTTCCTAAGCCAGAGCAAACACTGTTAACAGATTAAATATAAACTCCAGAGGGCCTTTCCTGCTCTGTATTCTGTGATAACTGCTGTCATTGCTGGGGTGGGATCTGGGTGCTGCCTGCTGGTCAGGAGCAATTTGGGAGGTGGGTGGCGCAGGTGGGCAGGGGAGCAGGCTGTGTGCTGGTTGCCTACCATCTGCCTCTTTGTCTCTCTGCAGATTTTGTGTTCCCCTCGTACTGGCTGCTCTCCCCATCATGGCTACTGGTGAAGAAATGCCCCCTGCCTTGCAGGACTCCTGGGGGGACTTCTGGCTCTTCCGTTTCTTTATTAATGCTGCTGGCTACGCGAGTATTGTAATACCAGGATTCCTCCTCATCCAGTACTTCAAGAGAAGGAATTACCTGGAGACAGGTAAGGGCAGGCAACAGCTTTCCTCCAATATCTGCCTCAGTGCTGATAGGTGGTTCTCTTGCTGTGCTTTGTTGGACCAGCCCTGAGCTGGGCATAAACCTCCATCCCTAGGAGCTATCCTGAAACAAATCTCTCCCAGGCTCCCATACCAGTAGATATGGAAGTTTGTTCTGAACAATTCGGAGTCTGCCTGAGTCAGCCCAATCCATGGCTGCATAAGTAATATGAGAATTTGTCTGCTAAAGGCCACAGTCTCCGTCTGGTGATGCATGTAGTGTAATGAACTGACTGTCACAGAGAAGGTTAGTAAAGAGGGAGCCTACACCTCTCAAACTGGTGTGGCTTGTGGTACCCAAGCTGTGGTTAATTCTGTCTGTGTTCTCTTATCCCTTCAGGCCGAGGCATTTGCTTTCCTGTCATCAAATCATGTGTGTTCGGCTCTGAGGTGAAGACTGTACATGCAGAGGATGGCTCCCTGCCACCCCGAGCAGAGCCTACAGAGTCCTCTACAGCCCGACAGGTCTTGAAGCTGCTCTTCTGTGCTGCTGGTCTACAGGTAGGGGTCTTATGCATGTGTGCATGGCCATCCCACTCAGGATGGAGGGACTGGAAAATGAGTTTGTACTGCCACTTCCTTAAAGATGCAGTGCTGTCCTTGATAGGGCAGGGTTGAAGGCTGGAACACTGCCTCTCCACTAGGATAATCCACCAGTGCTGTGTAACCTTTGAGGGACCATTCTGGTGTCGTCTGCATTGGGACCTCTCTCATCTGTCCAAATGCAGTCCCCTGCATCCATAGACAGGGAGAGTTCTGAGATTGAGACAGTTTGTTAGGGCTGCTCTTGTTCCAGCTCCCATCAGAGCAACAGGTAGTTTGAGCCCTCTTAACACACAGGCCCTCTTCTGGGTCACCTTCTGGGGCTGAAAGGTTCTTCCTTTGATAGATTAATTTGGATACCAAGGAAGTACTGAATTCAGCTACAAAAAGAGAGGATTTTTTTTTTAATTTTAATTTTAGTTTCCTTGAGTCTCAGCTACAGCCTAATCATCATTAGGAAAGGCAGCTTTTTGGTTCTTTGGGGACTAAAATTAATTATTATACGAAACTCACAAATCCTGCAGCCAATAGAAAATGCCCACACTCTGGCCAACTATCCTAGCACATTCAGACACCACCACTTCATCCCTCTGCCTTAGTTACCTGGGAGAGAAAAGTCCATGTTACTTTTGTCAGAGACTCAGTGCTGGAGCACCAGGGCTGCGTAAGTAGAGGAGGTGACAGTCAGAGCAGTGATTATCCCTGGAGAACGGTTTTGTCTGCTAGAAACTAGAATTGAGTTGGGTGGTAGAACTTGGTCTGTAGAGCTGGAAGTGAAAACCAACAGAGAGGCCATTGGGAAAGCTGCCAGGGGCTGCTGCAGGGAGCTGGCACCAAAGCCAGGGCTATACATCTGTAATGTTCTCTGATCCTGTCCATCTGGTTCAACAGGCAGTTTAAAACAAGTGTTTTCTCTCTAGTGAGGTGTTGCTTTGTGGGCTTCTCTTTCCTTGTAGAGGCTGTACTTGAGCAGGGCTGATTTTGTTTGGCTCTAGTTGTTCCTAAGTATACCACAAGGTATGGTGGGCTCCTGCAGGTTGGTTGCAACAGGAGTGGTCCCGTCTCCCAGTATGTCAAGAAAGCACTGCTATGAAGAGGATGAGGCAATGACAGGGCAGACAAGGATCTCCTGGGGTCTATTCTTCCAGTGGTTGCTTGTAGCTGTTGGTGTGGATCCTAATTCCCTGTGCTCCTCCTGCTTTGCAGGCCTCCTACCTCACATGGGGTGTTCTCCAGGAGCGCGTGATGACAAGAACATACGGTGCTACTGAGACGGACCCTGGTGAGAAGTTCAAGGACTCTCAGTTCTTAGTGTTTATGAACCGCATCCTGGCCTTCACTGTGGCTGGTCTGTACTGCGCCATGACCAAACAGCCGCGCCATGGGGCTGCTATGTACAAGTACTCCTTTGCCTCCCTCTCCAACATCCTCAGCAGCTGGTGCCAGTACGAGGCGCTCAAATACATCAGCTTCCCCACCCAAGTGCTGGCCAAGGCTTCCAAAGTGATCCCTGTAATGATGATGGGTAAACTGGTGTCACACAAGAGTTACGAGTACTGGGAGTACCTGACAGCTGCCCTCATCTCTGTGGGGGTCAGCATGTTCCTGCTCTCCAGCGCTCCCAACAGACACGTGTCGACTGTCACCACTTTCTCTGGTGTAGTCCTCCTGGCCGGCTACATTGTCTTCGACAGCTTCACATCCAACTGGCAGGATGCCCTCTTCACCTACAAGATGTCTCCCGTGCAGATGATGTTCGGTGTCAATGTCTTCTCCTGCCTTTTCACAGTGGGCTCGCTCTTGGAGCAGGGTGCTTTGCTAGAATCAGTACACTTCATGGCTCGTCACTCTGAGTTCACAGCCCACGCAGTGCTGCTGTCAGTGTGCTCTGCCTGCGGCCAGCTCTTCATCTTCTACACCATCAACCAGTTTGGGGCAGCTGTCTTCACTATCATCATGACTCTCCGCCAGGCCTTTGCCATTCTCCTCTCCTGCCTCATTTACGGGCACACTGTCACTGTTGTGGGTGGGCTGGGCGTAGCTGTCGTCTTTATGGCACTCTTCCTCCGTGTCTACGCCCGCAGCCGCATGAAGAAGCGCAGCAAGAAACTACCACCAGGGGAGACCCCTGTCCAAAAGGTCTAAGGAGCTGAGGCCAGGGTCTCTGAGCTGTGCCTGCTGTCCTGCCTCTGCTGGGGGGCGCTTGCTTGATCTGTCAGAACCCACTGAGGAGCCAGGTGGGATATTGTTAGGCTGGACAAGTGACTCACTTTTCCACCTGCTTTTCCTGGGGAAGGGGCTGCAACAAGCCCAGGGAATGCTCTGGGCTGCCACAGCTCCAAACCTTACTTTTTGCCTTAATAGGTCAGAGACTTTCAGCCAAGACACAGACCTAGGGGCTTGCAGCTGCAGGGGTAAACCAGCATGGGGCTGCTGGTGCTCCTGCGCCACCCGTGTCATGGTTTCTCTCTAAGGTCATTGATTGAACAAGAGAGCTCTTTTCCATGGCAACACCTTGCCTCCAGCTTATGCTCCTCTATGTCTGTTGCTACTACAGAGTTCAGCAGGAGGAGGTGGCAGGAAAAACACTAGCTCTGTCTTTGAAATGCCTCTGTATGAGGCAAAATCCTGAGCTGAGCCTGGGGGAAGTAGGACAGAAACTCTCAGTCAGTCACTCCAGCCTGAGGCTTTCTTCCCAGGAGGTGCTCCAGGTAGGACAGGCACAGCTCAGAGAGGACCCGTCCTACCGCAGGCCTGGGATCTGCTCTGGGAGGGCATGCTGGAATCCCAGTTTGGTTTCTCAGTCCCTCACCCCAGCTCTAAGTCAGTTTTCTTTGCTCCTCCTAGCCCAGGCTGATTTTTATGCAGAGACAGAGGCTGGCTGATGCATTTCCCAAGGCTTGCTGAGTTATTCTAGGTTGCTTTTCAGTTACATCCGCTGCTGTTACAGGCCAAAGGCTGCAGTGGCCAGAATCCCCAGCATCACCTCAGGGTGCCACGGTTTCTGGATTCTGTAGCTGCCATTCAGAGAAGCACAAATACCTACTTTTTTTTTTTTCTTTTCCCCTGCCAACTGGAACTATCAGCCCCACCTTTCTTGGGGCCTTATCAGAGCCCCACAGTGCCTGGAGGTCTGCAGGAGGGGACAGCCCTCTGTCATGGCTCATCCCCTCTCCACAGGCAGCAGAGGATGGAGGAGCAGGTGCCTGCCCCCAGGCAACAGGGGATGTGGCAGTGGAGGCTGCTCCCACTGCTCTTCCCCAAAGCCTGGGTTGTACCCATTAACCCTTTTCTCCCCATCACAGCCTGACTGACAAGTCAGCAGTTTTGGTACTTTTGAAAAGCAACTTTTTTCTTTTTATTTTATTAAATTAAAAATATGCTGCATATAGTACCCAAGGGGTAAGTGGGTTTTTTGTTTGTTTTCTTTCCCCCTGTACCTTCCCTCCCACCCAGAGCTGGAGGGAAGAGACTATTTCCCCAAGCCGTTCCCTAATCTTCCTAGAAAGTTTTGCTACGCTCTCTCTCCTTTCCAAATATGAGTACATCAGCCTGCACTCAGGGTTGGACCTACAGCTCCAAAGCCCCATTGTTCTTCCATGCATGATCCCTGCACACACACAGCTGGAGAACACAGCCATGCTTGGACCTCTGCTTGTGCTGGTGAGTGCATTAGGACTTGCAACTCTGTACCAACTTAATCCTGATAAGGACTTGGGGGCTATGCAGGGACCCCAGGAGCCAGGTGGGGGTAGCTGCAAATAGGGTAGATGGATAGAGACAAGGCCTTGAAGGAGCCCAGCCTTCATGGGGTGCATTTGCACCATCACCAGCTCCACAAGTCCTGTATAGACCCCTGGTGCACAATGGAGGATTGAAATAAACCTTCATTCTCTGCTTGTGCTCTCTGGGCCTAGCGAGGTCTGGAGCCAACCACAGAGCTTGCCCTGCAGCTAGAGAAACAGGAGCATCAGGTGAGGGTTACAGGAGAGTCTGATTAGGCACATTAACAGCCTGCAAGGACAACAGCATCTGCTGAGCACAGCACTGAGTTTAGCAGTTTTATCCAAGCTTCTTTACTACTTTCAAGTTCTTGAAAGTGCCTGTATTACATGACCTCACAGCCCTGCATCCTTCCCCTTGCCTCCACTCCTTGTTTACGAATTCAAATTCCCCCAAGTGTCTGCTCCACAGTTCGCTGCCAGACTGAGAACGTTTGGGTTTTTGGGGAGGGTTTTTTTGGGGGGATGGAAGGGGGGGTGAAAAGGGAAGGAATGGTAAAGTTTCTTTCTGCCACAATGTACAACAGGACCCCTTTTCTCATTTAAATGAGAACGGAGGAAAACAAACAAGGAAAATGCTTTAAGTTGAAAAGAATCAATGTTGAGCTCACTTGGCAAAATTTCCCGATCCTGGGAGAAATCCTAAGTCTCCTTTTCTCCCGTCTCAGAAAAAAAATTGCTCTGAAAGAGTTGGCTTGCACAGCTCTAGCTGTAACCCGGCTGGCCTGCACCCAAGCAGCATCATTGCAGCACTGTGCCCCCCAGTGTGCAGCCATGACTCCAGCTCCCAATAGGGCTCAAAACATGGCCCAACTGTTCTCTACCTTTCCTTTCCCTTTTCACGATGGATGCTGGCTGAAACACCCACTCTATTTTATGCATATGCTGGTTACATTTTGCCCCGCTGTGCTTCCCCTTCTTCATTCTATTTCAATGTCTTCTGCCCTTGTAGCAGCTTTCCACTTCATTCTGCTCCTGCTTCCTCTTCCTGCTACAATTCCACCTCAACTTCCACATACACCCTTGTAACAGCTGCCTTCTGCCCTTCCGCTTCTTTCCACTTCTCCCAGTTCTGCTTCATTCCACTTCCACCTCTGCTTCTGTTTCCTTCCTCTACTTTTGATTCAACTTTTTCTATTTCTGGTTACGCTTCTGACTTGAGTTACTCCTCATTCTGCTCCTTTCCACTTCTGTTTCCTCTGACACTTATATTTCAGTCCACTTCTGCTTCCGTTTTCTTCTGCTTCATTCCCCTTCCGGTTACACTTTAGCTTATAGTTCTGCCTTGTTATGCTTCTGATTCCTTCTGCTTAAACTTCTGGTTCCACTTCAACTTCTGGTTTCGCTTCCACTTCTGGTTCTTTCATTCCTCATAGCAGCCACCTTCCACCCTCACAACATTCTGCCCTTCCATTTCTGATTCCTTCCACTGTCGCTTCCAATTCTTTCCACTTCACTTTGCTTGTGCTTCCACCTCATCTTCCATTTACACCTCTGCTTCCTTCCACTTCTGGTTCCACTCCCCCTTCTGTTTGTCTCCTTCAGCTTCTATCATTGCTGTACTGTGTCTTGCAGTGCCTTGATGTGCCGGCATGACTCCAGCTCCCATCAGAGCTGTGCTCTACATCCTACTTCTCTTTTCAAGATGGATGCTGGCTAAAACATCCACTTCATTTTGTGACTGTGGCTGCTGGCATGCAGTCAAGTATGACTTGATGTCACTTTCCCCTGCCCAACCCCAGAGGCCAATGAGGCAGAGGGTGACAAGCCCTACAGCTTTAGTTTAAGTTTGATACAAAGAGCAGATGGCTCAGATGATGCCCCAGGCCTCTCAGTCATCCAAGAAACAGGTTAAAGCAAGGTGCTGCTAAGCCCAAAGGGCTGCAGAAGCCTTAAAACAGCAGGCTGGATGGTGGAGGAAAAGTGAAGTCTAGAGCAAAACCTGTAAAAGCAGTTTGACATAAGAACTGAGCAGAGGCAGCTGAAGTCCCCAGCAGTTACTCTCCTCCCATCCCCATCTCAACTCTGTGCTGCAAGGGAACAAGCAGATGGCTCCTGTCACTGCTCCAGACCAGAGACAGAGAGACGGTCTGATGAGACCAGCCAGCAGCAACACACACTCACGTCCTGTTAGCTTATTCAGCTGACAAACACAGCTTGAAAAGATTTCTTCACCAGCTGCAGGTCATGCAGGGTTGTAGGCAGAGAGCTGGGGATCACCTCTCCTGCCCAGCAGGTCCTTTCTCACCTTTCTCAGAGGGTACTCTCTACGAAAGCACAGAAGTAGCAGAGATGAGCTAAAGCACAACTCAAACCTAGTCAGAGTAGACCCTGCCTTCACATTGCAGTTCAGAAAGAGCACAACAGTTTGAACCTGTGGTGGTGGCTTTTTAACTACAGAGGCCAAGAGTGTTGAAGGCAGGCCATCTATCTCTTCCCCAACTTCTGGAGAGAGCTCAGGCTGCACTGCAGCCCTCTCAGCACATGCAGCTATGACGCCCAGAAGAGAAAGGGAGCCAAGGCCACAGCTTGATGCAAGCCAAAGGACAGTTTCCTCAGGGCAGGCTCCTAAGTTCTCCTCTGAGCCAGTAATCCCCTCCTCACCTTGTCTCCTGGAGGCAGGGATAGGCAGTGGTGCAGCTAGAACAAGAACCTCTCTCCTGCATTCTGTCTCCTGCAAGTGCTACCCCAGGTTCATATAACCCCCTGCTTATACATGGCAGGGGATAAGAGTCCCAGCAGCCCTCCAATGCAAGGAAGTGTGCCTGCAGGCAAAACAGGCCTGTCAGTCCTCTCAGGACAGCACCAGCTGGGCTCTGCATAACTTCCCTTCCAGGGCTCAAATCTCTGGAATTGATCATCCTCACCTTCCTCTTTCTGGGCATGAAACACAATAGAACCTTTTATGTAAACCTTGATCTTTTGACACTTTAATTCCAGTAGAACAAAACATCAGGAAAATCAATAAAAAATAACCAAGCCAACCAAAATACAATCCTACTCTGGGGGGGCTGGAGAGAAAGGACTCTCTTCACCTCAGCTGAGCATGGGAGATCCCATGGGGTGTGAGAAAGAGGAAGACTGACCCCTCCACACCTCCATTCCCCATTAGATGATCTTACACAAGTAGAAATACACACAACAGACATGCCCAGGGCTGCCTGACTTGCTCATTACTGACAAACAGGGAACCCTGTTTCCATTCCCCACTACAAAAAGAAAAAAATTCCAGAAGACACCATCAAGGAGCCAAAAGCCGGTGGGACCAGAGACCCCTTTTCTAAACACACATGAGATTGGATAGAGGTCTGACAGGAGATGGAAGAGACCACTTCTTTAGTCCACCTCTTCCATGCGGGATGTGTCTTCATCTCCCTCCAGACGTGGGACTTCATCAGGAGGAGCTGTATTGGACTCTTCTGCAATCACCTCATCTTCATCAATACCTAGGAGAGAAAAGGGAAAGAAAAGATGAAGCCTCCAAGAGACACCTGAGTCCCACAGTCCCACAACAAAGGCTGGCTCATCAGGAGCCCAAGCAACAGCACCCAGGAATTATGCCAAGCCACAGCACTTCCTCATTTACATTTGTGCCTAAAAAGATAGTTTGAGACAAATCTGAGTGTAAGCAAGCTCTCTGAACATAGGGCCGTGCCCTTTTTCCCGTGGTAGACTTTTGACATTTACTGCAAGAACCTCAGTGTCACCTGGGAAGCCTGGTGGTGGCCATGAGGCCAGGACAACATTGCTTGAGATTTCCACTTGCCCCCAGCCCCCTTACACACCCAGCTACTTTTGTGTATCACAGCAGCACTGTTCACTTACTGGCCTTCCCCTCATGTCTCAACTACACATTGTTTTTGCTGCACAGGCCACAGGAAGCTAGGCTGCCTGCTTCTGCCAAGGCACATCACTCCTTTCCTAATAACTTCTGTAGGAAACTCCAGCTCAGACAACTTGGGCACCTATATGGTGTCAAGCCAGGAGCAAAGGTGAGAAGGGACTGTGGATATGCACTTCTGCAGAGACTTGGGCAGGTGATTTCACATCAGGTTGAGAAAATCCCATTTAAAAGGGGAGCTAGCCTCACCAGAACCTTCTCCAGAAGCTGCATGGACACGTACCAAGCCCCAGTTTGATCATCCTATAGATGCGGTTGGAATGGGTCTGAGGATCTTCCAGGGAGAAGCCAGAGGACAGCAGAGCAGTCTCAAAGAGTAGGATCACCAAGTCTTTGACAGCTTTGTCATTCTTGTCAGCATCAGCCTTCTGACGGAGTGTTTCCACAATTGGGTGGTCAGGGTTGATTTCCAGGTGCTTCTTGGCCATCATATAGCCCATGGTAGAGTTGTCCCGCAGCGCCTGAGCCTTCATGATGCGCTCCATGTTTGCTGTCCAACCATATGTGCTGGTGACAATGCAGCAGGGAGATGAGACCAAGCGGTTTGAGATAGTTACCTGACAAGGTAGCCAAGAGTTAGGAGAGCAAGGCTCCCAGTATACCCCAGAACGGACCCAGCCCCAACACACAATACCATGTAATCATCCCAGGTTCGCCTGAGGACAGCCCAAAGCAAACAGGGATCCTTCAAAACAGCTCCAAAATTGCTTGACAGAACAGTTTGGACAGCTCAGCCAGCATCTTCAGTACCCACTACGTTTCCCACACTTACCGTCTCCCATCAATGCACGTATTTGGGTCAGAGCCCTTCCCCTGCAGCCTGGCTGCTTAGAGCAAGATGGTGCAGTGCATGCTGGGACCTTCAGTCTCCTTTAGCGGCTCCTCTGCAGGAGATGAGGGAGATCAGAGGCATGCATTGATCTGGGACCCTTGTCTGTATCATGGAGGGGCCCAGCCCTCCTCCCACCAGCCCAGGACACAGCCCTGGGCTGAGCTCCTTAACCATCTCACCTTCTCCACCTTCTTGTCCAGGATTTCCTTCATGAGTTTGCAGAGGGTTTCAAACTTGGCCTTGCTCTCCTCCATCTTCTTTTTCTCCTCCTCATCCTCAGGTAGCTCCAACCCCTCCTTAGTAACTGACACTAGGGTTTTCCCATCAAACTCCTTGAGCTGCTGCACGCAGTATTCATCAATAGGCTCCGTCATGTACACCACCTCAAAGCCACGCTTCCTCACACGCTCCACAAAGGCCGAGTTGGCAACCTGTTCCTTGCTCTCCCCTGCGTTTATGGGTTTAGAATCAAGATGTCACAAAGATTTAGGAGCTGTTTATAGTGTGATAGAAAATACTAGTCTCTCAGAGCCCCTGATGGAAAGTTGGCTGCAGCTAGGGCTCTGGGCCTGATAGCCTTGTCCCAGCACCCAGAATGGTCTGTCTTTCAGCAGAGAGGGTCTTTCAGGCAGATTTGCCTGAAAGAATTTAAAGCTGGAAGACAGATAACCCACTTCATCAGCAGAGATCTGGCTCACCTGTGATGTAGTAGATACTCTTCTGTGACTCCTTCATACGGGACACATACTCTGAAAGTGAAGTCATCTCATCACCTGACTGAGATGTGTGGTAGCGCAGCAGCTCTGAAAGGCGCTTTCGGTTTGTTGAGTCCTCATGGATGCCCAGCTGGGGGCAGAAAGCATGCATGTGGTCTCCAGGATGGAACTTTCGTACACTAGGCTATCCCCAAGACACAACTATCTCCTAACCATAAAAGTCCAGCTGCCCACATAGGCTCCCTGGAGTACTTCTGAGGCCCACCTCTACCCCAGCACCCTCACAGAGAATATGTGATGCTGCAACAAGCCTGCTCCTAAGGCAGGTGGGTCACAGGTCCCTCCCTCCCCCACGTGCAGTATGTCCAAGTTCTCACCTTCAGATTCTTGGAAAAGGCCTCATAAAATTTCTTGTAGTTCTCTTTGTCCTCTGCCAACTCAGTAAAGAGCTCCAAGCACTTTTTCACAATGTTTTTGCGGATCACCTTGAGGATTTTGCTCTGCTGCAACATCTCACGAGATATGTTCAAAGGCAGATCTTCTGAGTCCACAACACCTCGGATAAAATCTAAGTAAGGGAAATGGAAATTAAATTAACATCTCTGGACTTTACCATAACAGAAGTGTTAAGACAGAGACTGCTGTCAGCCCACTGCAATTGGCATCTCAGCCAGCCACTTGGCACTGAGAACCACAACCAGGCTGGGGGTGTCCCAACTCAATCTGGGAGACTGAGGCAGGGGGGCTCTTACTCAGGTACTCAGGAATGAGCTCATCACAGCTGTCCATAATGAAGACACGCCTCACATACAGCTTAATATTGTTCTTTTTCTTCTTGTTCTCGAAAAGGTCAAAAGGAGCACGGCGTGGGATGAAGAGCAGGGCCCTGAACTCCAGCTGTCCTTCCACAGAGAAGTGCTGTAGGCCCCAAAATAAGAAAAGAGCTGCCACTGTCTGTCCCTTCCACATTTTACTGCAAGCACCTACACTGGGAAGGCTGAACCACTGCTCCTCAGCACCAGGGCTGGCAGAGGGGTACAGCATGGTCTCCTGCAATACAGCCAGCATTTCCCCCTCTTCAGCTCCACTGCTACCCCCAGCATGTCCAACCTTCCCTGGCATCCAGTAGGCCTGGACAGACAAGTCATAGTTCTCTGAGGCCCAATATTCTCTCGTTCAAGCTTCTAGGCTGCCACTGCCCACCCCTCCACCTGCACAAAAATCAATAGAGGCTGCAGCATCAAGTGGTCCTGAAACCTTCAGATTTGTACCAAAATGGTGGCTTTGGGTACAAGCTAGAAAGGGGCCCTCTGTCCCTCCAGGAAGCCAGAGTGGCCCAGGACCCACCTTGACTGCCAGGTGGTCCTCCCAGTCATTGGTGAGGCTTTTGTAGAACTCGCCATACTCCTCCTGGGTGATGTCATCAGGGTTGCGGGTCCAAATAGGTTTGGTTTTGTTCAGCTCCTCCTGGTCAATATATTTCTCCTTAATTTTCTTGGTCTTTTTCTTCTTGCCTTTATCTCCCTCCTCCTCCTCCTCAGAGCCCACATCCTCAATTTTTGGTTTCTCCTCATCCTTAGACTCTTCCTCTTCTTTCTCAGCTTTCTCCTCCTCTGTCTCATCATCACTGATCTCTTTCTCACGCTCCTTCTCCACCTGTGGAAGAAAAGACAAGAATCAGGGTCATAATTACAGTTTCAGCCCCAAGCAACCGCTACCAGAAAATCTTTCTTTTTGGACAAGCAAAACAGGCATCCCCTTGGGTACAGATCACTGTCCAATACGTACAATGCCTGCAAACAGGGCTTTTTCCCCAGTCAACCTTAAAAATCCTTGCAGCATTCGTGTAATGAAGCACCATGTCTGAGAAAACAGTGGGCACAAAACCCTGCTCCCTCCATATCTAATTCAGATGGCATTCAGCTGGACAGATCAAAGACTGAATACACGTCAGGATATTAATCATGTTTGCCTCCAATCGCTTATTTCCTCTGGCCACAGAAGATGATAGCTGTCCTTCTCTCATATACTCCTTCCAGCACTTCTCATCCCTCCCTCCAGCATTCCCAGGGGTCCCCACAGTACTTCTCTCACATACATAAAGTGTGATGGGGTAGCCAATGAACTGAGAGTGCTTCTTCACCACCTCCTTGACACGCCTCTCCTCCAAATACTCTGTCTGGTCCTCCTTCAAATACAGGATCACTTTGGTGCCCCGTCCAATGGGCTCACCTATTGTGTGAAATGACAGTGCTGTGGGTTTCAGGGTGTGGTGTAAAAGGGCAACGCATAAACAGGACTAGCTCTGGGAACATAACTGCTATTTGACAATGTAACTTTAGGAAGGATTAAAAGGACTGCACATCTAACAGGGATACACCTGATTTTGTGCCATACGTACCATGGTCAGTCCGGACAGTGAAGGATCCCCCAGCTGACGACTCCCAGGCATACTGCTCGTCATCGTTATGCTTGGTAATGACCACCACCTTCTCAGCCACCAGGTAGGCAGAGTAGAAACCCACACCAAACTGCCCAATCATGGAGATGTCTGCACCCGCCTGTGAGGGCAGAGGGACAGTAAGGACACAGGAAGCGTTTGCAACGGCTTCAATCAGCAGGGAGCCGGGTCAGTACACGCAGATAAAGGCACAACAGGCAGCCAGCCCTACCCTCAGCACCTCCCTGCTACCGGAGGTGTGGAAACCGGGAGGCCGGCAGTTCCCGCAGCAAGGAAGGCAGCGGGGCCGGAGATCCAAGGCAGCCGAAAGCAACCCACCTGCAAGGCCTCCATGAAGGCTTTGGTGCCCGATTTGGCAATGGTGCCCAAGTTGTTGATGAGGTCAGCCTTGGTCATCCCGATACCGGTGTCCAGCAGGGTGAGCGTGCGGTCGCGCGGGTTGGGGACGATGTCGATCTTGAGGTCCTTCCCGCTGTCCAGCTTGGAGGGCTCGGTCAGGCTCTCATAGCGGATCTTGTCCAGCGCCTTCAGGAGAGAACGGGTGCCGCTCGCTGCCGCCCCCTACCGGACAGCCGCCGCCAAGCACCACGTGCCTCAGCCCACCGCTCCCCGGGCACCCTCAGGGCCGCCGCAGCCCCCCCGCCCCCCAGCAGAGGACGACCCTCCCGCGGCCGGGGCTCACGTCGGAGGCGTTGGAGATGAGCTCCCGCAGGAAGATCTCCTTGTTGGAGTAGAACGTATTGATGATGAGCGACATGAGCTGCGCGATCTCCGCCTGGAAGGCGAACGTCTCCACCTCCTCCTCTCCATGCTGCACTTCCTCGGGCATCTGCAAGGCAACCCCACGCCGTTTGCACCAGGCCTACAGCGGTAACTACAGCGATAACAGCCCCCCCAACCAGCGCCGCCCGAACCTCGCTGCCTGCAGTCGGGCGGTGCAAAAAAGAACCCCCACCACCCCGATTGGGCTCCCTTATATAGGCACGGTGCGCCCCGCCCCGCCCCGCCCGGCGGCTCCTTCCGCCTTAAAGCGGCCCTGCAGAACGCCGCCGCCCGCAGCGTTGAAGTCGGGCGGGGCCGCAGGCCGCGCGGTGGGCCCACCTCCGCTCCCCTTTAACGGCGGCGGCCCGCGGAGGAGCACGGCGTCGGCGGGGTGGCAGCGCCGTCGCTATTCCAGAGAGTTCCACGCGACCCCCGGCGGCGGTCGGGCTTCTGCGGGTCTGTGGGCGCCGGACGGTGTCTGCAAGCGGGCCGCCGTGAGGCCGTGCAGTTCTCCTCCGCGGCACTAGGCGGCACTGCGGTGACTCCGAGGGTGCCCTTTCCCCACAGTGACAGACACGGACACACGTTTCGGTCTTTTTATAGAAAAAGGCAACTGTACATTTACAGATACATTTACAGAGCGCCGGGGGCGGGCCGGGACTGCCGCGGCCGGGAACTGCCGCCTTCCTCCTGCGGCCCTCCGGCGGAGGGGAGGAGAGCAAACAAAGGCAGAATGAGCAACCGGTTGTGGGGGGGGGCGGGGGGGCTGGAACACGGGGGGGGGCAGGGAGAAGCAAAGGGTGCGGAGCTCGTCATCTGCTGAGCCACGGTGCTGGCTCTTGGCGTGGATGGGACGGGGAGATCTCACGGCCTTCAAACCCACGTGGCAGCGTGGGGCTGTCAAGGCCGGCTGGGGCTTTTCCCTACCTGCAAGTGTCTCCAGTAGGAGAGAAGGTGGAGAGGAGAGGGGGAGGAGAGGAGGAGTAACACTGGATACCAGCCTTCAGCTCTGCCTGGTGGAGAGGAGAAGGCTTGCAATGGCTTTTGGCCTTGAAGCTGGGGAACTTATGCATCATGGGAGGACCTCGGTGAGGTCCTTAGAGTTTTACACACAGCACAGGAAAGGCAAAGGCACGTAGGCCTGAAGGCATCACACAGCCGGGCATGGCAGGAGCCACACCAACCCTGGAAGAGTGGAACCGTCCCTGCTGTGGCAGTGCGATTTGGCAGGGGCAGGAGTGAGGTGTTATCACCCCACAGCACAGAGATGTCCAGGGCCTCAGAGGAGGATGCGGAGCCATCTCGGTGTCCCTGCACCCTCTGGGTGCCTCTGCTAGATGAGAATTTGGAACAGGAAGGAGATGGCGGCTCCTAGGGCCAAGCCCAGCGTCAGGAAAAAGGCCATGACTGCTCCAGCTGTCTCTGCTTCATGGGCAAGTACTTTCCTAGGAGAGAAACAGGTGTCAGACTCATCCTCAGCGACGCATGCCCCACACCCTCGTTGGAGTTCAACTGAGAGATGGGAGGAGGCCTCAGCAGAGGCAGAAACAGTGTTCTTCTGCTGCAGAATGGCAAGAAGAAACCCCATCTCACTCCAAGAGCCCATCTCCACATCACAGGCTCATAAAAAAGACAAAATGCTTCAGGCAGGCTGTCTCAAGCTCCAGCATGAAGGTCACCCCTCCCTGACCCCTGTGCTGCAGCCCAATCAGATGCCCGAACAGATGCCAGGACTGGCCTTGGGCTGCCACCCACAGGTGAAACCAAATTTTCCCCCATCACCAGAGCTTACTCACTTGGGCCCGAAGCACATGCAAAGGCTGGCCAGGTAGCCGTTGGAGATGGAGAAGAAGATCATGAAGATGATGTACCAGGCATCGTGAGAGAATATGACGGGCAGGTGGTCTCGGGGTTGCACATTGCACAGCATGAAAAGGGGGATGAAGATGACACGTAAGACCACCATCACTGGCAAGAGGCAGCTGTCCTTCCCGGGCTAGGAGAGAGACACAGGGTGTAGCTGAGAGGTGGGCATTCCCCATCCCCTGGCATGCCAGCGAAGGATACAAAGAGGCTGTCTCTACTGTGCTGCAGCCACAGGGCAAGTAGGATGCAAAGCTTCTGCAAGACTTTTTCTGCTGCAACAAATTCCAACATCACCAAGTGATACAAGGGGCAGATCACGGCAGCTCCTGAGCCCCTCTGTGCAAGGCTCCCAGACCCACAGCTTCTGCCTGCCATCCTCTGGCACTCACTGTCCTGCTCCTGCAGCCTCCTGCATGCAGCTCCGAGGTTTCTCCCTACATCAGTAATAGCTATTTGAGGCTGAGAGTGCTCTGCTCTCTGTGTTCCTAGCCCTGGTTGTACTCATAGTCTGTCACTCTCTCCTCAAGCCAGATATTCACCCACTACCTGGCCATTCCCCAGAGGAGAACACCCAGTTAGTGTGTTCTTGTCCTCCAGAAAGAGGAAAATCAACAGGGACTGTTCAGATTTGTTAGCATAGCTGTGAGTGGGAAACACTCCCTCCCCAGGGTGAAAAGATGGAGAAGTTTGATACTGCTTGTTTCTTCCCTACTCTCTTGGGCTGCATCAGACTGGAAAGCACCACCCTGCTCAGCTGCTGCTCTGCTGGGACTGGGTGCAGTACTCGTGGTGAGGAAGTCAGCATGCAGAGGAGATGGACGGGCCACCAGTCCCACCACAGCTGGCCACTGCCCTGAAAATCTCGTCCTTAGCTGACTTGGAGAGCAGCAGTGCTAGAGCCAAAATACAGAGCTGAGTCTGGGATCAACTGCTAAGCCCCTTCTGCAAACAACAGGGAGTGAGGACAGCCTTATGCACACACACGCAACCTCTTCCTGCTGCAAACCATTGCACAGGCCAAGGCCAACTGAGGTAAATCGCCTCTGGCACCCCATGGCCTGCAAACTGGGCTTTAAACAGCTCTCCAACCTCCCACGCCATCCCCCAGCCAAGTGGGGCGAGATCCAGCAATCTGGGAAAGGGATTATGCTTGGACTGTTTTGGACAGTGCTGGGAAAGGCATGGATTGAGTTATGGCCTCCCCAAATCCCAACAGAGTTTCTGGATGTGCCAAGTTGGGACAAACCAAGAGGCACTGTCCCCATGCTGTTGTGCAGCTATGATGAAGGCAGTCCCTGGTACAAGATGTGCCTGGCTCTCTCCCGAGTCCCCTCAGCGAGGAAACGATGACAAGACCTTGTGGTCTGAAGTCAGAGTAAGCCCCCAGCTGCCCTGGAGGTGGCAGCCCTCCTTGGCTGGCACAGCTGTGGCAAAGATGATGCCGACTGTTGTGTCTGTGGGAAAACCAGCAAGAGCAGCAAGATGTTTTTCTTGCAGAGCAGGGCCCCAACCAGGGAAATGAGGCACAAACCACACCACAGTCAGACTTTCCACCCAGTGCTGTTTTGGAAATGTCCCCTGCTGGGTCATCACACCACTAGGGCTGTGGCCTGGACACCAGTCAAGGCAGCTTGCAGCCAAGGTTGGGGGCAGCCAGCAGCCATAGCCAGGGGAGAAGCAGCTCTAGGCAGCAAGGCAGCCCAGCACAGCCAGGGCCGGACAGACCCTGCATTGCGTGCTGCTGTGAGGAGCTTCTCTAAACAAACAACCTGAACAATACAGGGGAAACAGCACTTGGGGGGTGGGCAAAGGGGCAGGAAGAGACACAGACAGACCCCTTCCTCATTGCCATCATGACTCCCACCGCTCAGCCCAAGGCACAGCAAGATGAGAGCAAGGGACCTGGGCATGGGAGGGGACAATTCCATTATCTGCATGGTGTAGTTCTGCTCTGCTGCCAGGATAACGCTCTTTAAAGCAGCTGTGTACTGTGCGGAGGCCAGAGGTTTTATTTCAAGCTGCCCTGTCTTTCACCCTCTTCCACTGCCGCCATCCTGCCTGGCTGTTTGCATAGCTGGAGTGAAGGTTTGTTTACAAAGGCTGAAATAGAGGAGACAGCTTCATCCAAGCCACGCTGAAAGAAGACTGGGAGGAGAACAGGACGATACTGTGGCTTTCAGCTCTAACCCTTTCTTTAACCCTCTAAATCTCTGCTTAGGGCTTAAAGCCAGAGCAGGAGTCAGCTCTGTGCCTACTTCCTCCTCCAAGCCATGGATGGCAGCCCCAGTGAGAACCATGGCCAAAGGGTATGGGGATGAGAGTGCTTCCTGCCCCCAGCTTACCCATGTGAAGAGGGCAGTCAGACTCCGTCCCGTCCAGTCAAAGACATTAAATATCAGGAAGCAGGAGACTGAGATGAAGTAGAGATCTGCAGGAGGGGAAGAAGGTCAGTGACAAGCCCAGGATGCCTTGGGCCCTCCAGCTGATTGCACAGAGACTCTCCTTCAGGTCTAGGCGCCTCCTAGTTTCCCACTAAGAGCTGGAATGGTCTTCCAAGCCAGACTGGTGTCTGCATCCAAACCTTCATGCACAATGGTCTTCCCTTTCCCTCAGGCACCCCTACTACTTCAAGCCCCACCTTCTTTCCTCCCATTTAGCTTGTTTCCCAGTTTCCTCCTAGCCCACTCCACACCTGGCTTCACTTACCCCATTTGTTTCCCTTTCCAAGAGTAGTGGACACCTTAGCTGTGATGGAAGGAAAGACCCCAATGGTGACGGTGAAGACTAAACAGACAGACATTGCCATGACCCAGAGCTAGGAAGATAAAAGAAAGAGGCTGGTACCAAACACAGGGCAAGAGACCAGTGCAGGGGTGGTCTCCTCTCCCCATGCCTTCCTGCACCTGTGTTCATATCCTGACACAAGGAGAAGCACGGGGGTTGCTGCCAACTCACAGACCTTCTTAAAAATGGAGATGACCGAGGGCTTCTCATCTGGATTGTGGACAGGGATAATCTTTGAGTTATTCTGCTCCATCCCATTGGGCTCATCTGCAGGGAAAAACAAACACAGGGCATAACAGACTCCACAAAGCAGGGATCTAATTTAGTCCTGTCTCAGTCTTCCTCTCAGCTCTTCTTCCTTTCTTCTTCTCCTCTCAGCCCCTCACCTTTCTTAATCAGATCTCTCTTGGTCTCCAGCTCTGCATTGTACACACGGTACTCTGTCTTGTCCTTCATGGAGTAGTACCGGAAGAAATCCTGCAGAGAGACAGCCACACTCAGTCAAGTGTGAAGAAAGAAGGCTGCCAAGGAACCGGCACCTGAGACTGTGTTGATAATGGGAAACAGTGCAAGATGGACTGTTCCACTTGTGTCTGATATATATGCTTCTCCTGCTCATTCAGGGGCCCACTTCCACATTATCCTAAGGATACCACAGATATCTGAGGTGAGAAGTATCACAGAGAGCTCCTTTGGGACACTGAGTGTCCTGCCCTGACACAGGAGGTAGAGGCTGACAGAAACTGTGGCGATATTGGGCCAAGGTTCTTGTGCTGGGATGTGCACAAGATTTCCTCATGCTCTTACCCACTAAAAATAAAGCCTTACCATGCGAGGTAGAAGGACGTAGGAGACAACGGCCAGCAGAATCGCCACACAAGCTGTGGTGAAGTAACCAATGTAGCTCTCTGGTTGCTGAGCACCAACTGGGAGCACAAGAAGAGAGGAGACAAAGAGGAAAAGGAGGAGGATGAAGAGGGGCAAGAGGGGCGAGGCCCTGCTGCCACCTCCCACACCAAGAGGGTCCAGCGTGACCCCGCTGTCCCCTGTTGACAGTAATGCACAGTCACCTTCAGGATGGGTATTACTTACTGCTGATACTGATTATCATTGCCACAGCAGCGAAGATGCCTGCCAAGCCCTGCCCACTCATGATGGGAGCTGTGTAGCTGGCAGGCAAGAGCCCAGCTAGACCAAAGAGGCTGCCCTGCAGCATGGCGCCAAAGGCTGCAAAGGGAAGGATAAGCAGAGATGAGAAACCAAAGGTGAGGATGGGCTGCACCTCTGTGGGGAGCCAGTGTCACAGCCCTGTAGGACCAGGGAGGGTCCCCAGTCTCCTCTTTCCTTTGGGCTCTTCCCCAGCGCCTTACTCACAGTTGATGAAGACAATGCTGACCATGGTGAAGACAAAAAAGGGAAGAGGCTCCATGGTGACCTTCACCATAATTGCAGTGATTAAGAACACCAGCCCAATGGCCACCAGGCTGCCCAAGATGCGGATCTGCTGGGGAATCCTGCAAGAGAGGGTGGTGTGGGTGAGGAAAGCCCAGCACCTAGAGGTCTGCAAAGTTCTCTTGCAGCAGTTGCAGCCAAACCACAGCACAGGAGAACCAAGTTTTGCCTTTGGACTGAATGGCTTGGCACAGCGTTGAGTCAGGATGTGGGAGCTGGCAAGGGCAAGGATAGGGCAGGGCTTACCGCTGATGGATGAAGGAGTTGAGGCAGGTGAAGATGAGGAGGGGCACCATAGAGCAGAGAGTCATGAAGTTGTCAAACATGGATTGTAGGTAGGAGAGTTCTGAGGCAGTGCCCACGCTGGTCTGGTTTGAGAGGCAGCTTGTGTTCTGTGGGTCTGCCAGGCGGTCGATGAAATACTGCAAGGAAAGGAACCAGGTGGAGCTGAGGTGCTGTGAGGCCTCCTCCAAGACAGATCACCCTTAAGCCCTTTCCAGCCCCACACCCAGCCCAGGACCCCTCCTGCCACCTCAGTGCCATGCATCCCACGCAAATCACCCACACTTCTGCCTCCTGCCTGGTGCTCAGAGGTGGCACAGGGTGATCAGTGTCAGGGCAAGCCCTCACCTGCCTGGCAGTCATGAAGAAATTCCATGGCAGCAGTGTTCCCAGGCCGAGGATGAAGAAGATCAACCAGACAGCCTTGTACCTGCAAAGGGGACAGAGAAGTGTGGAGCAGGATGACAGGCAGGGCAGGGGACAGGCATCACTTCTGGCTGTCTCCAAGCCCACTGTGAAAGGCACCAGGCAAAAAAGGGAGGATGAAATTCATAATTTGGCATCATCTGTGGGTCCAGTGCTCTTAATAAGGAAAGGAGATTCTTGATAAAGGACGGCACAAAACATTTGTTATCCTGTCTCTGGCCTGGGCCCTTTGAATGGACGTGGCCAAGGGAGGGTTTCCAGAAAGCTGTGAAGGCAGAGGACACTTCCCACATGTGGCACCCAGCCACACACCAACCCTTGCCAGAGCTGGGAGGGAGCCCCACCAGCCAGGGACAGCAGGGCCATGTCCCAGTGCTGGGGACTGTTTACAGCCCATTTGCTTTGGAAAAATTGATAGAGCATCTTAGAGAATGGATTCCACAGGCAGAGACGGAATAGCTGCTCCCTGCTGGTCAGAGAGCACACATCCATAGGGCTAGCAGTGAGACTTGGTGCCCCAAGCCCCCAGGTACTGAACCTCACGTTATCCCAGATCTCCCAGTATCTTGAATGTGCCCCACGCCCACCCCACAGCCTGGCATTACCTGTCCTGTGGTCCATCTCTTGTTGTCATCTTGTGTGGTGAGAGTCAGCACGGGTCCCTGCAAGTCTCGTGGTGGCTCTCTGGAAAGCAAACAGAGGGCTTTATGAGGGAATGAGGCCAGCAGGGGCAGCATTGGTTTTAACCTGATGGCATGGTTGAGACTACATGAGACTACAAAAAAAAAAAAAAGTGTCAGGAAACAGCAATAGCATTGCTCAGCAGCTTGGGAGACCGATGGCTCAGAGCCCTTAGCTGAGGGGTTGTGACACAGAGCTTTACGCCGCTACTCAGGGGACGCTGAGCCTGTCCTTCCAAAAGGAAACCTGCCCCCATGACATGCCCATGCTGCTCCACTCCAGCCACATGCCACTCCACTGCAGGCTCTTAAAGGATTTGTAAGCCTGTGACAATGCCCTCAATCCTCAGGCTGTGAGCGAAGCATATACGCAATGGGCTGTGTCCTTCCCCCCTGCCCTCCCCACGTCCTTGGGGATATGGAGGAACAAAGGACACGTTTTATCCAGTGGTTTCTCAGGTCAAACCCTTCTTTTCCATCTACTCCTTCTGTGAGGCTCTAGCAGCCCTCCCTAGGAAAGCCAAGGGCACCCCGGGCACTGCTCGCTCCGTCTCAGCACCCTCTGCTCCGAGCCTGGCCCCTGCTGCCACTCAGCACTGCTTTCCCCATAAGTGTCCACCCTACAGACACAGCCTGATCCAGACCCCATCCCTTGGCCCCCTCCCTACCCCTCAGGCATAGCAGAATCAGCCCCCCCGCAGAAGCCACAGGCCTGCCTTGTTGTTTTCTCCTCAGGACAGCACAGCATGGGGCATTCATCCACTTCTCCAGGCAATTGCAGCAGGGCTCCACGTGCTCAACCCCTGCACCCTGCCGGCTGTGCCCTCCCTCAGCCGCCTGCTCGGCCTCCCTCCTCTCCTGTGCGGCTGTGGGCTGCAGCATCCCTGCCTGCCAGCAGCAGCCTGCCTGCCAGGTAGGACGGCCACAGGGGCCGGCAGAAAGCAGCATGCTGGGATCTGTAGTTCGAGCAACGCTCAGCCCACATTAAAGGCAACGGAGGAGCGTGAGTGTTTCCAGGCATGGCTCACATCCTTCATATCAACTGCCTTGCTGAGGAAGGTGGCAAGCAGTAGGGCAGTCCTGCAGGTTGTGCATGGCATGGCAGCAGAGCGTACCCACAGTCCCAGCAGTCTGATGCAGCACGGCTTCCTGCCTTCCCATGTAGAATAAGACAGCTCCCGTTTGCCCTTGCGAGCTACCAATGCTTCCAGAGAAAATGCAGTAAAATCCCCTCCTGAAAATCCCCTCCTGGCAGCCTGCCAGCATCCCTGCAGGCAGGAGGCAGCCTGCTCTCTGGCACTGGATTAGCAGGGGGCCTGCGAGCGTGACTGTCATCCCCATAGGAAGAAATACCACCGGGGCCACTTGTTGTCCCTGAGAAACAGGTGGAAAGCTCCAGGGCACCCTGCAGCCCTCAGCAGGCTGCCCCTCACCCACACAAGGCCCCAGCTTTACTCCCAGACCAGCCCCCCATCTTCCCTGGGGTCACAGTGCTGTCCCGAGGAGCAGAGAAGGGAGCTCTGCCACAGACATATGCATGAAGGCCTGTGCCAGGGCAAGCCCTGATCACTGATCCCACCCTATGCCCAGTGAATTTGAAAGCAGTGTCCCCCCCCTTCCCCTTCTCAGGAGTGCTCAGGTCATGGGGGCCAGAGCCACGTGCCCCTGGCAGTATCTGCAGAGGAGGCGGAGGGAGAGGTGTCATGTACCACAGGTGGCGGGCAGCCAGCAGCATGCAGGGTGTGACAGTGCTGGAGCAGCAGGCAGGAGCTAGCAGGACAGGACTGGGGTTTGAGGAGCGCTTCCCTGCTGCTGTCTTCCCCACCGCCTCCTGCTTCCATCCTTCATCAGCAGCCCGGCCTCCTTGGCGGCAATGCCCTGCCGCAGCCTCCTACCAGCTTTGTTTGTTTTCTGTCTCACTTTGCTAAGTGCCTTCTAATTTTTTTCCACTAAGAGACAATCCCTGCCAAGGGGCAGCGGGTCAGTGCTCATTACGGCTGGAAACACGTCCAGCTGCCAGCTCTTACAAACAACACTATAGTAAACAGAAAAGATCAAACAAACCAACACAAGCAACAGGTGGCAACAGTGCTCCAACCAGGTGAGAGCAGCTCTACAATCACAAATCCAGAGCAACCCTATGATAACAGACCAGGGATGGTGCTCAGTGCATCCTCAGTCCCAGCACCTCCAAGGACCTCAGCCATCTGCCCTGCCCCGAGCGCATGGGAAAGGAGGAGCAGTTCAAGGCCTCTGTGTGTGGACATCCGTTTACTCCCAGGCACAGAGCAGTTCATTGGAAGCGTGGAAGTGATGTGTGAGTGGAAGGAGCAAGAAAAGAGTACGAACTGCTAAGCAAACCACAGCTGTCCTCTTTGACCACATTCAAACAATGGAGAGCTCAATTGTAATTGCCAGGTTTACTCAGCACAAAGGCTTAGGCATACGCTAGGTGACACTTACTGTTGGGCCAATGCCTGAGAACCCACAGCAGGAACAGCCATGGTGCAAAACGCCCAACCTCTGCAGAAAAACTGGCACTGCAGGACAGCCACGCCTGCAGGCAGTGGTTTGTCACCCAGCTCTGGATATTTCCTTTCTCACGCATTGCCCTTCTGCTCTGCTGCCTGGCTGACGGAATGCAGAGAACATGTCCGGCTTCCTGTGGTGGAGCAGTTCCATGGCGGTGGTAGGGATACAATGGGTCTCCTCCAGCTCATTAAAGCCAAGCCCTTTCTGCCACCTCTGCCATCCTTAGCGAAGGGGCTACATGCAGGCAAGCTGCAAGCACCTCAGCACCCTCCTGCTGCTACTCGCTTTGCAGGAATATGGTCACCAGTTCCTACGGGAGCCACCAAGGTGGGGCAGGGCCAGAAGCCCCTCCAGGCTTATAGCCCATTCTGGGGCCAGCGGAGTTTACCTGCAGGCAGGGAGCAGGCCTGACACACATGTGCAAGTCACATGAAACCCCTGTGGCTGGAACTCAGCTTCAAGATTCCACCTCCAGCCAGATCCCCTCGTACATCCAGAGCTGAGAATAATGAATGCCTGCTTTCTAACACTCTAACTTGAGTCTTAGTGAGTTTCCTCATCGACCAATTTACAGTAACACCCAAGCTCCCCTACCTTGCTCTGGCCATGCCAATCTAGTCTCTTCATTTGTAGTCACCATCCCATGTACTTCCACCCCCGGCTGTGAGCAAGCCTGCTGCCTTTCCCAAGAAGCAGATCTGCATGGCTGCATGTCTCACTGAGACATCAGGACCAACTCAAAGTGGGGGCCATGCCTTGTGGCAAACCAGAGCCCAACAGAAGGCTAAAGTCAGCGCTGATTAAGTATGAGAGTGGCAGAGGCATGGATAACAACAACCTGACTGCTCTCCCATCTCCAAGCAGTTCCGCTCCTCAGCTTGTTCTATGTTTTATAACCCACAGAAGGTTTCACTTTGTGAGCTTTCTACTTCCTTTGCAATCTGGGAGCCCTGCAGCACCCTGTGGCAAAAGCCTCCCCCATGGCACAGCATTGCTACAAGCAGCTCTGCTAGCTCCTGCCTTTGATTCTTACTAGACACGCATCGGACCCCTTTTCCATGCCAGCCCTGACTCCCCAGGCGCGGATCCCAGCCACCCTCCATCATGTTTTCCAAACAGAGAAATTCTAGCTCACTTAGTCATAGGGAAACAGCTCTGTGCCTTTGATCCTCCTTGCTGCTTTTCTCCAAGTCTTTTCCCACTCTCCCAGACCCTTTTGGAGATGGTGGGGCCACAATAGGCGCGGTGGACTGGGGCGATGGCACAAGGCTCTCTTGCTTTGTTTCTTCTTTGTCACTCATGAGGAGTGACAGAGGCTCTTCTTCAGGGAGTCGATGTGTTTTTATGACTCTGGCTGCCCACAGAGCTATCCGAAATAACCCCAGGTCTTGCTGCAAGCTCAGGCTGTAATCTTGTCTGCAGATTTGAGATGATTATTTCCCCTTGCATATCATTCGATATTAATCTAAACTGAATTTCATCCTCCTGCTGCCTGCTGTTGTAACGATGCTCTGTGCTGTCTGTACCTGGCACTTGTCCCCATGAACCTGAGTAACTCGATAGCATCAGGCAAACTGTCAGCTCATTGCTCATTCCCTTTTCCAGGTCACTCATGACTGCTGAAAAAGCATGGGACTGAACGCAGTGATCTCCTTCCACTGCAGAAACTGACCACTTACTCCTACGCCCTGCTTCCTGTTTTTCACCAATGTTTGAGCCATGTAAAGACCTTCCCTCCCTAAAACCTGGGCTGAAAGACCTGAACGCGTTTTGCAAAGCTCTGTGCCCAGGGGCTTGCTGGGCTGCTGTGGGCGGGCAGCACAAACAGCATTACCAGCCCGTTTTTCCCCGAAGTTCTTACCAGCCCTTCTTAGAAACCAGCGTCACATTTTCCCCCTCCCATTCCCCTTTACATCACAAGGCAGAAAGTACTTCTGTAGCCCCACTGAGGGCTGTGCATGGTGCACAGTTGTTACCCCTCAGCATCTCCCAGGGAAGCATCCCAGCTCCAGACACCATGTCAGCCAGGAGCTCGCTTCATTCTACCCCCTCCGCCTGCTTGGAGAAGAGAAGGCTGCTCTCCCTGAGCCTGCAGCCCGGGATCCCCACTGCCTCCCCACTGAGCAGGAGATAGGTTGGATGTCCTCGCTGCCGGGCCGTTATCTTGGCTGCCAGGTGCTGCATGGAGGCGGGGGGCATCCAGTCCTGCTGTATGTTTTGAACCACGTGCAGCAGCTGGCTGCAGTCCCTTATCAGGGCGGCTCAAGGAGCCCCAAGCAGTTCCCAGGGGCCTCTGGCAGGTACAGCCACCCAGACGTGCATAAACCAAGCCGGAAAGGAGGGCTCTTTTCACACCCTCCATTTATGTGTTTAATTTGACAGGCAAAGCACACTCTGTCCTCAGCATGGCAATTACACCTCTGTGACATGCCTGGCGTCAGGTCACTCACCTGCCATCAGCAGCACCTCAGTGACTGCATGCATGGTCACTGTTGCCCATAAATTCCTCCTCCTGGCAGCGGATCCCCACGATCAGAGTCCCCACCTCCCCACTCTGGCTGCCAAGTGCGTTACCAGCCCTGCCACAGAGCTGGCTGAACACAGGGAGCAACACAGGGCAAACAGCAGGAGGGAGGCCCCAGCAGAGCAGCCCTGACAGATTGCACACACCTGACCCTTCAGCACACCCCAACGCCTGTTCATCAGCCAGTGAATCGCTCCTGGCACTCAAGCAGCCCCACAGCAGAGATGGGCACTGCCGCCTGGCATCCCAGCAAGACCAGCTCCCCAAAGCAGGGTCAGCAACCATCCCCCCATAGCCCAGGGTGGGAGCTTTAATGCCAGTGAGACACTTACCAGAAAGGCAGGGTGGATCCTGCTAGCTCCAGGGCTCTGGTAAAGCCCCGCAAAGCTCTGAGCAGGCGTTGGCTCCAAGGACAGCACTTTGAAGATGGGAGGGGAGATAGAGGGCCTGGGGGGGGGAAGGAGTTGGAAGGCACCACGTCATTTCTGCGCAGAGAGAGGGAGCTCCCAGATAGAGCCGATGTCAGAGAGGCAGAGATAAGCCACTCTCAGGAGAACATCTGCAGCCAGGAACTGGTAGGTCCCTTCCAGACTGCTTCCAGGCAGCACCCCCTCACACCAGGATGGGGCCAAGGCCCCAAGGGCTTTCAGCTGCCCTGCTCATGGGGGGACACAGAGAGAATGCAGAGGCAAAAAGCTGACAGCTGACTGCAGCACTGGCTTCTGAATGCACAGACCCACAGTGCCGTCCCTGAGGCACACCAGTGAGATGTATGCTGGCACCAGCAGCTCCCAGAGGAGAAGGCCACTCACTCCACAACACGGCTCCAGTGTGCCTTGTGGAAGGCTTGGGAAGAGGTCATGGTTTTCCAGGGTTGGGTTGGAAAATGAGATGAATAAAGCCCTTTTCTCCCCAGGGTGGAGAAAGGAATTTGCTCAGGGCTCCATTCAATGCATCTGCGGAAACCAACAAAGAAAGAGCAGAGGCTATGGAGAGCCATCTCTGGGGTTCCCAGGCAGTCCTCAGTGCCCAGAGGGGTTGCATGGGTGGGGAGGGAAGGGGAAATGGAGGCAAGGGCCCCACAGAGCTCTCACCACACAACCACAGCACTAAGGAGAAGAGGGTGCAGTGGGCACATTGTCCCACATCATCTCCTGTCTCTTCTGCAGCCAACAACCCCATGGGCTCTGGGGGGATACTGGGGCAAAGGGGTCATCCAGGGCTACGGCAGGAAGAGGCACAATGGGAGGAAGCTGGGTTTCCGTTCCCCAATCAAGAAAACCCACTGGGACCCCTGGGGTGAAGGGCAGGACGCCCACTAATGTAAAAATCAGCTGGGGGTATAAGGTGCAGCCCCCAGGTGGGAGTGGGTCCTCCTTGCAGCAATGACACAGACAACAGCCACCAGGACAGCCACCAAGCAGTGCAGAGCTGCCCCGGCTGCACCACTGCACGGCTGCCTCCCCGTGGGCCACGCTTGGACCTGCTCCACAGGCACCCCTAGAGCAGAGGGGAGAGCCGCAAGGAGGAAGCATGTGGCAACAGGGGTGAGGCAAACACCCATGGCCAGATGGGTCTAGAGATAAGAGTGAAGGCCAGGCACGAAACCCAGACAGGCTGGGAGCCCAGAGCTCGGGAACGAGGAGGGTGAGGTGAGCTTCTCCGCACAGCTCCTCCTCCTTGGGGCTGTAGGGCTACATCCACGAGCAAGACCATGAGCAGGACTCAGGAGGCCTCCTGGCCTTGGGCAGCCTTCAGGGCAGTGAGACAGGCAGGGAAGAGGCCTCAGGACAGAAATACATGTGCTATTTTGGGTGCCCTGGCTGACCGCTGCGTTTGGCACCCAATGCCTGCAGCCCTGCTGGAAATGGGATGCCAGGCAGGAAAGCAGGTTTGGGCAGCCGCTGCGGCCCACGCAATGCTGCTGCTAGCTACCAGGGATCGGCTCACTCCTCATAGAGCCACAGCACTCTGCACACCCTGAGCCATCCTCAGCTGCTTGCTGCCATTTTTGATGGACAGGGACACGACAGTGGCACAGCCATCTCCACAAGAGTGAGGGCAATATGCAGCCAGAGCATCACTGGCTCAAGGCAGACACATCCTCTGGAGGAAATAAGTCAGAGAATAAACCTCCCACTCAGCTGTGGGACAGGAAAGCCTTTATGCCAGTGGGGCAGGGCAGGGTGGCGGGCAGCTCCCTCTTACCTCTGCCCAAATCCCAGAAAAGCAGCACCTCGGGCTCTCTTCCACAAGCAGCAAGAATAAACACAGCCACAAGACGGGGACGGGCAGGGCACAGCCACTCTGGTTGCTGCCACATCCCTGCAGGCAGCTGCTGCCCAGCACACCGCAGCCCAGCTGCACCACGAACATCCTCGGGGGCACCATGCCCAGCCTGTGGCCAGCCCTGATATTGCTCATGTGGGAACAGCGCTTAGAAATACATTATTGCAGACAGAATGTTATGTCTGGTGTTGGCTCACAGTGCCCTGCCCGCCTCTGAGCCTCCTCAGTGTTAATGTGAGGAGCAGGGGGGGACTGCGGACAGCTGTGAGACCCACTGCTGGGAAGTCTGGTGAGGGTGTATGAAGATGGGAAGGAGGAGCTGCAGGGGAGAGTGGATTGCTTCCTAATAGCTCTGTTGAGCTGCAGCTGGAACACAGCCTCCCACAGCTGTGGGTAATGCAGCCCTTCTCGGCAGGATGGTGCAAGGAACCAACCAACGCAACATCTACAAGCACTGCACAACACCTGCAGGGCCCAACTGTCTGAGACTGCACAGCCCTGGGCACAGCACAGCGCTCTGCTCCCACAACCCTGAGCTCCCAGCCGTGGTCACCCACCCTTTCCCCTGGAACGCTCCCCAGGGTTTCCCCCAAAAAACCCTCAGATCAAGCTGCACACTCCAAAGTCCTCACTGCATTCATGCAGCAGCAGAAGTCTGCGGGGTACTGCAGCCTTGCCAAACTGAGCAGTGCATACCACCTCTCCCTCAGCCCATCTGCCCCCACTGTCCTGCTCCTTGCCACGTGCCTCTCCTCGAGGTTCCACAGGCTGCTTGCTGACTGCATTTCCAGCTGTCGATGCCAGCACCGGAAACTTCACAGTAAGGTGCTTTCCCATCAGGCAAGTCCTAAAGGAAATGAACTATAACAAATCCCAGCGGCACTGATGGGAAGAAGGCAAAACTGTAGCAATCAGCCTGGCTTCCTGCTGGCTGCTTTGCTGCGACCCAGCGGGCAGTGAGATTGCCTGCTCAACACTGAGCCAGTGGCCGCTCCCTACCCTGCACAGCAGCAGCAGCAGCAGGAACAGCAACAGGCTGATACAGATATCAGTGGGAAGAGCTCATTGCTGGGGGTGCTCAGGAAGATGTCGGTGGAGTTTGCACTCTGGGGTCAGATTAAATTAGCAACAAAAGCAAGCAAACAGTGCTCAGCTGGCAGTAAGAGTGGGTTTTGCAGTTACCCTAACAGTTCCCAAGGCCTTGGCTGTTACGCTGGATGAGAAACAACTGAGGTGAGTGTTCATCCCAGAAAAACACCAGAGGGTGCTTGCCAGCCTCCCAGAGGCCCTGCTCAGGGCTGTGCCACCTGGCCAGGGGAGGTGGCTGCTCCCGGTGCCCTATCACTGCATGGCCACTGTGAGCCCTGTCCCAGCCCAGGAACCAAACAGAACAGGTCAGTGAGGGCTGCAACCATGGGCAAGCAGGTGCCTTGTGCTCTGCACCCTGGTTTCCTCCTGGCCCACAGGAAGGTCACAGAAGGGCAGAAACAAAGCATGTGGCTTAGCTTCAAAGAGGAGGAGGCTCATTAACAACATCTCACCCTGAGATAATGAGAGCAGGAATGCCACGATGGAGAAACGATGTCAGCGTTTAATCATGCAGTGCAGGGAGTAACAACTGAAGGATGGAAGTGTCCTTCTACCCCAAGAGCCAGGTCCATTTGCTGGGCCAGGATGCAGTAAGCTTCATCCTCATCTCCCTTCCTCCTCACTCTGGGTGCCTGGCACAGCTCTCCAACATTTTCTCAGTGAGCTGAGAGCAAGCCAACCTGGAAGCAAAAGGCAGCAGCAGCGCTCAGGAGGATGCAGGTGTGACGTGTGCATTGCTGCTGTACCAAACAGCTCTCAGACAGCTGCACAACTAGAGAAAAAAGCACACTGTGCCATCACACCCCGGGGTTAGCTCTACAGACTGGTGCAGATCCAAAGAAGCACGAGGCAGGTCGGCAGCCCACAGGAGCTGGGAGCGGAAACACTGCCGCCAGGCTGGGATGCTCTGATGCAGGGGAGTGGGATTTCCCGTGGCGGCATTCACTGAAGTCCCCTCAATTGTATCCGCTCGCCACAGGCAACTGTAGGGCATCCCAGCTGCTTCCTGCTTCACAGCAGCAAGGAAGCGCATCCAGCTGTGGCCAACAGCTGCACGAACCCCTCCTGCCCTTCAGCCCTGGGAATGCTCAGGGCTGAAGGATACAGGCTCGCTTGTGTGAGATCCCACAGCCCTTGGGCTCGGCCCCCGCCTCTTCCCACAGCACCGCAGCTCGGCCGCCCGTCTCCAAGACTGGGGAGTAACTGCGGAGGTGGGGAGGACAGCACGGCAGAGAGCAAACGGGGCTCTCTGCGCTCCCGGACCAGACCCCGTTAGCACAGCCGATTCGCTCAAGAACACTCGTTGGCTCCTCTCGCTGCACGCCGCGGCCGACCACGAGCACCTCCTCGCGCATCACCTGGGCAATTCCGCTCGGGGCTCCACATGAAGAGCTCTCAAGCCAGGGGGGGTTGAGAGAGAGCGGGAGGGGGGGGGGGGGGGGGGGGGGGGGCGAGGCAGCACGTGGGGCCGGGCGGCACGTGGCTCCGGACGCGCCTTCCCGCAGACCGGGGAGGCCCCCAAGAGACGCACGGGAGGACGGGCACGACCCCAGCGGAGCTCCGCGACGCACCCAGCCGCGCCCGGGGCCCGGCATGCTGGCAGGACGCGGGGCGGCCCGACAACACCCGCTGGCGCGCTCCGCGCTTTGCTCCGCCGAGAACTACGGAAGGGAACTCGGCGCTCCCGCGCGAGGGAAAAAACCCCGCGTCCCACGCGGCGGCCAAAGCGCCGAGCATCCCTCGCGGGCGCTCGCCCCGTCCCCACCCCCCGACCCCTCAGAGCCGAGTCCCCGCCGCCCCAGCCGTCTCAGCAGTCCGCCCGCTCGGAGCAGTCTCTTCCTCTCCGTTTTGCCGCCTTCCGCGCCGGGCGGGGGCCGGGCCGGGCGCCGCCGTCACAGCCAGGCGGTCCCCGAGCTTCCCCGAGCACGGACGCGCGACAAGAGCAGCCCCGGCCGCCCGCCCCCGGCACCCACCTGCAGCTCCGCGCTCTGTGCCGCCGCACGGCCGGGCCGCGCCGCGCCGCTTCTCCGCTCCGCCCGGCCCTCCCCGTGGGCCGGCCCTCCCCCTTCGCACCGCCCCCGGAGGCCCGCGGGACACCCCCTGGCACGGGGCTGCTGCGGTGCGCGGCGGAGCCCGTCGGGTTTTGCGCCGCCGGACGGAGCGCTGGCACCGAGCGGCTGCCCCGTGCCCGAAGCAGCGCGGCGCCCGCGTGTCCGGCATGGGCTCCGGGACGGGCGGGCTCACGCAGCCCACAGTAATCAATCGACGTGGAGATCATCTCCGCCGTCGTTCAAAGCCTATAGTTCTGCTTAAGTGCAAAGGTACATTCTCACCGATTAGGGTACTTTGTACGCATACGTTTCGAGGTTACACGTCTCAGGTGCAGTGTTTCAGGGCACTGCTGCTCCCAGTGCTCCCATCTCCCGCCCCACCACGGAGCCGCAGGCAGGGACTGCAGCTTGGGAGCTCGCTCCCAATGTTTTCTGCATTAACAAACAGAACATTCCCTGCGGGCAGCCGTCAGCTCGGGTTAGAAATTAAAATTGGAGATTAGACGCTGCCGAGTGTTCCTGCAGATTCCCCATAAGCCCTCGGCACGATGCATCTCCCCTCAGAACCACAGCTAAACATCACGCTTTCATTTCAAACCAGACTTGCAAAACACCTCCGTGTGAGCAAAAGTCCTCAAAGAAGAAGGCAGTGGTGACACCGATGTCTCCCTCGGGAGGTGCCCTCTCTCCTGCCCCACTCTCCCACTCTCCTGCAACACCTCTCCCACTGCCCGGTGGCACACATCGGCCATCTGTTACAGCTCTGTGTTTCTGAACGACACACCGAGCAGGCGGCCCAGAGCGCTGCTGGATAACAGGGCAGGAGCTGCTGCACACCGGGAGATCCGTATCACACCAAATTAAATTTAAAACCTCCCATCTGCAATTAAGCTCCTGCGGCGACTTGCTGGCAATGAGACATCCCAGCCTGCGGCTGCCTTTCCCGGCCTGCCTTCCCCAGCAGCCCTGCTTGGGAAGGTGTTGCTCAGGTCGAGCTGCAGGCACAGCCCCGATCTCCTCTCCCCGCTCTCCCCAGCAGTCAAGGAAAAAAAAAAAAAAAGGAGTGAGCATCACCCCAAAATGCATAGAGGGGAAAAAAAGCAAAGCAGAAGCTGCAGTGGCAATGCTTTGGGATGCCCAACATCACCCCTCCAGCTCTGAGATCTGCTGCACTGCTGGCTATGGGGCCATGTGGGCTCTATGGGATCTGGGGGGGCCTTCGTACCGTGCTGAGCTGGGCCCCGTGCCTCCAGCTGAAGGGTCATGCTTGCAGCACAAGCGAGCATTTGAGCATCAGTAAGGTGTTAGTGTTAATTATAGACTCCCATCTGAGCTAAAAGCTATGGCAATCAATGCCCTGTAGACGAGGGCTTCTAGGATCTGGTGGTGATAAAGTTCTCAGATGCTGTCAGGAGGAGAAGCACCATCACATCTCCTCTTAGCCTGATTTTCTACTACATCTCTGCAGGAAGAGCAATGGGTGCAGCTGCCTCACCCCAGGCTGCCAGCAGCAGTGTGCACAGCTCTTACCATCACCAACGTGATAGATCACATGTTGCCTAATTCCCTGCTCTGCCCCTCACCACATTCCCAGGGCTGTGGCTCAGGGCTATGGGAGAGCACCCGCTAACAGCCAGCCTTGGGCTCAGGGATGTCCCAGGACACAGCGCTGCCACCCTGACTTCTCACCTCAGATGGGTGCTGCAGCCTCCAGGAGAGCACACCCAGCTGCAGCGGCGATGTGTGGAGGTGTCCCAGCATGTGGCCTTGGGGCAGACTCAGGGAGATGCCTCCTTCCATGAAATGAAAGTCTGTGCTGAGCAAACCCACGTGGGCCAACGCACACGCAGCTGTGGGACCGTGATGCCTTGCTCCATCCTGGCTGGGTGCGGTGCCTGAGCACAGCGCTGCTCCCGAGCAACTCTGGCGTTGCCAAGCTGACACAGTAACAGCTCCCAGGAGAAGCCAACAGCTGAAGAAAGCGCTCCTGCCCAGGCCAGGCACAGCTGGTGCCTCACCCAGCAGCCAGTACCAGCACCACAACTGCACCGCAGCACTGCAGCACATGGAGCACAAAGCAGTGCCGAGCGAGACCAGGCTCACAGCATTGTCCTCTCTATGGAGCAGTGTGCTGCCAAAGTGCTGCTGCTGGCAGATTGCTGTGCTATTGGAGCCAAGGGAAGGCAGGCAGCAGAGCCTCTTCCTTACAGAATGTGGGATTCCACTGGTGCTGCTCGTTTGGGGGTGTTCCTTCCCAAACCTCAGCTGTGTACCACAGGCAGACCAACGCCATCACCTGGAGCCCAGTTTGCACGCTGTGCCCACAACTGGTTTTCAACAGAAGAATAAATAGGAGAAGTGCTCCCCTTTGAGACGTGCCTGCTGCCAAGCATTGCACAAAGCTGCCTTTTTTTTTCCTTGTAGCAACACCCTGCTTCCACTGAAGCAACCAAATCCGAGCAGGGAGGCAAACAAACAGCTGCTTTTGAAGGCGAGAGCAAAACGTGAGGTTTGTTCCAGGCTGTGGTAATGCATCACATGAGCTGGAGAAGTATCCTTTGTGTCTCTTGGGCAAAATGTGAGTTTTAGAACATGAGGAGATGCGTACTATTTGTATGCACTCCACGTCCCAAGGAGCCTTGCCACTTGGCGCCCACGCCGAGTGTTCTCCCAGAGCTCTGCAGGCGCTCTGCAGCCATACGTTCCTTAATCCACCCCCTCCTCCTGCAGGATGCCATCTCCTTTCCCCTTCATTTGCCACAGACAAGAAACTGAGGTAGCGCGAGGACACAGACTGTGGGTAGGCAGGGAGTGGGGAGCTGCATGCCATCCTGTCCCCATCCCACATCCACGTTTCCACCCAAAATCAAGTGCCCAACACTGGGCCGTGCCACAACCACCCAGTGGGAACTGGATGGGCTGCTTTGGCTCTGGGGTGCCCAGATGATGCCTAGCAGAGCAGCTGTGGGCACGGAGCTGTTGGGGCACTCCTCTTACAATAGGCCTTTTGCAGAAGTGAGAGCAGCCCCAGCCACCTGTATTGCCTGCAGCCTGCTAGCAGGAGGCAGGGCAATCAAATGCAGCAGGCATGTCAGGGGCACCTCCGGGCCCCCCGGGCACACATGGCTGGTTTGCTCTGCCCGCTGCTCAGCGGGGATGGGAGGAGCCAGCTCCTATCCTGGGCCAAACCCTCTGGCAGCACTCCATGAGCTCGCAGCCACCCGTGAGGCTGTACCCACAGAGCGGGGAGGCATCAGGATTAGCAGGCAGAGCAGGAGCAGGGTGGAAGCAGATTAGTGGCCGTATCCGGTTCTGCACACGTGTGACAGGGCAGTAGAGCAGAGCCGTGTACAGAGAAGGAGTGTGTTAATCAGTCACATGGAGGAAAACCCTACAGGCTACTGGAAATCAGTTATAATGCAACTGACCGCAGCTGCCCTGCTTGCTCTGGAGGTCCCCAGCTCACTGCTGAACTCAGTGCAGGCTTCCTTCACCAGTCCCTTAGGGACAGGGCTCTCCTGTCACTGCCTGGGGACACATGCCCCGCATTTCAGGGAGTGATGCTCACCTGTGTACCAAGGTCCCGTCCTACACTGCAGATCCTGGTTATGCCATTACCACTGGCAGGGGGCTGTGCTGTCCCACTGCATCTTCCTGCTGCTGGATCTGTGAGATGTGCGGGCAGTGCTTCTGAAATGGGGCCGTGGGGGCCTTTCCACTTCAGCAAGCACAAACAAATCCCATTGTCCACTGGCTCAGCAAGGGGCCCGGGTGCTTGTGGGGCTCCAGCCTCATCTGTCAGCCTGAGGGGAGGCCCAGGGTGCCCCCAAGGCAGGGCAGCACTGCGAGAACAAGGGGCTGGTGCGCCCCTTCAGTGCAGGCTGAGCGCCCAAACCCTCTACCAAAGCCGCTGCCAAAGGTCTTCCTTGCTGCTGCCTCCTGGATGCAGCCCTTTCTGCAGTAGTTCCTCCATGCCCATTCCCCTTCCGCACCCCTGCTCCCCTCTACAGCTCTGCTGCCCCTTTGCTCCCTCTGACAAGCATTTACTGCCTAATGGCAGCTATTAAACAGAGCCACAGGGCAGCTGGTTACTGAATGACAGCTCAGCAGTTACCACACCACAGGTACAGCACTGTTCCCTATTCCACTGCAAGTATCTTCTACCTGCTAGGAACTGCTGAAGCCTTGGGAAATATGGGACAACATACAGTGTGAGCTCCTGGTTACAAAAGTTAAACTCTGTGAGATGCTCCAAGGCACTG